AGGCATGTGAAGATCTAAAAACCAGCTTTCAATTTGCAACAGCTTCATATCTTTGAGTAAATTATATACTATATGATTTTTTGCAATGTTAAGTTGGATAGAGCTGACGATAGTTAATATTTGTTATTATTATTATTTTTTATTTCTGTCGATATTGCGATAAAGTACTCGATTTTTGGAAGAGGTAGCACAAATAGTGGAGCATATTATGCTAGGTTGTCTCCAAGAAATTTGATGGTTTTGTGGTCCTTTTTGGATTTTTATGAACTCTTGTATCCATTGACGGCTGATCTATTTATTTCTTATCTATTCCTACATACTTTTCTAATTCTATTTTATTTCTTCTTCCTAAGACTGATTATTGGCCAATCAGTATTTAATATTAAGACATCATACTTTGTTTTGGGGGCATTTTGCGTATTAGTTATTTAGTTACCACCTCATGATCACATGTTAAAGTATTATTTTGCATCCTTTGAAGAGATACCACTTCATATATCCGTCTATACTAATTTTTGGGTGCTTAATTAATTCTCTTCAACTTAACAGATAAACGTAACATAATCCAATTGGTGAATATGTTAAAGAAAAATTTGCATGCATATTGGATGAGAGATCACACGAAAAATAATTTCCATTGTAAACATATACACGTTTTGACCTATAAGTATTTTGAAACATAATTTTCATTATAAATAGATTGAAATGCAATTGATAGTTGCTCAAATATTTCCTTTGAATGGAATATCAGAATCGAGAGAAGATCATGTTTGAAAATATAAGGACCACAACAACACATGGAGTTTAAATCTTGTGGCAGTGACAACATTCTCCCCCTTCAGATTTCTTGTTTCTTTCTCCATCCTGTTGCTGCTGTTTGGATTGTGATGGACTCAACAATCCATTTAGCCAGTGAGGATTGACGTGATAAGGTAAACCCTACTATAAAAACAAAACAAAATATATACTTCCTCCAACACTCCTGTTTTTCCTTTTTTGTTTGTGGATTACAAGTTACAAAGCAAAGACAATTACGAAAACATTTGATTCGAAAAGAAAACTAGAGAGTCAAATTTCAGATAGGGGATAACAAAAATTGGAAGTCCTACGACAGGCGCTCAGTAGGCTCATGGCCATGCACTTTATGAATTACCTTATAAAAGAAAATAGGAAAATGTCCATTTTTTTTAATTTTTTTTTGATAAGGTAGGAAAATGTCAAAATATACCCCTGAACTATGTGACATTGAGCAGATTTGCCCATAGTTAATACTTTAGCACAAAAATGCCCCTCTCGTCCAATACATGATTCGTGCCCTTAGTTTATTGGAACCCGCCAATTAGCCTTTCGATTACATATTTGCTCACTCGCGTATAGTCTAGTGGCATATCTGGCCTAGTAAAATTCTTGCATTGCATATTGTTCCATCAACAGATTTGGATAAACATCTGGCCCTTAGTTAGCCATAAACATCTCTTTTTCCTTGTGATTTTTTCCCAGTATATTAGGATCGTAGATGTTGGCCGAGTTGTAATCAATTTTTTGTTGCGAAGTTTATGTTTTGTTGCAGAAAAACATTGTGTGGATACTGCAAATGGAAAGATGATGAATTTCCACCGAGAGCTATTGTTGTCATCAGCAAATTTAAAATGGAAAAAAAAATTGTTCTTATTAGTGAAATCAATCTTTTAAAGGAAAAAGTGGGCGCTCTTCAGCTTGAAAGCATAAATTTAAAGGAATTAGTAGCTAAGTTTGAGGCTTCTTCTTATATTAAAATAATGGTGGAAGACTTGGAAATACGAGGGAAAAAATATTTCTTTTGTTATTGGGTTTCCTTGTTGGGTTTGTGGTTAGTTATATGTTATGAGGGAAGACTTGGAATGATGGGTGTAATTGCATTTGATTGTTTTAGTTGTATAATTTGGATGCACTGTAATATAATGGTGGGTGAATTGTAATTGCAAATGTTTTTGATAATTTGGGATGCAATGACATTTTGTGCCATATTGATGGAATGAAATGCAATGCCATTATATATGTAATTTAATTTACACATAATGGTTTGATTCCGTTTCAAAATGCAGTGCCAAAAAATAGTGGTTGGCTACAAAGTGTAATACCAAAAAAAATTGCACAAACTGAGAATTGTTGGTGGAACAATAAGCAGTTCAAGAACTTTACTAGGTCAAATATGCCCCTAGACTATGAGCGAGTGAACAAATATAATCTCCAATAGCTAATTGGTGAGTTCCGTTAAACTAAGGGCACAAATAAATCAGGTATTTGACGGCAGGGATATATTTGCGCCAAAGTATTAACGACATGTAAATCCGTTCAATTTCACATAATTCAGGTGCATATTTGGACATTTTCCATTAAAAAAAATCACCATTTGATCAATTTATATTCCATATTTGAAACTTTGAATTAGTTTAATTACAGACATTAATAATAGATCACTAAAACAAGATCATATACAACTAATTAGAGGAGCGACCTCATACTTTAATTTCTGGGCCAGAAATTCACGGGGATTTCTCGAATTTATATTTAAAAGAAAACATCACGATATTGTAAACTTCGTTCCTCATCTAGGAATTCTCAGATTTGAAAAAGAAAAAAGTAAGAAATATAAAGCAAGTAGAATGGCAGGTAGAATCCTCTTCATACCAAAATCGATACTAGCTAGTTTTTTTTAACTTTGAGAAATCAAATCCAGTCACCATATAAGGACATAAAAAAAATGACTGTTAGATTATGTATTTTTCTCAAATCTGGGTTATGCTTATGAGTTATGATAATTTCTTGCAGAGGAGGACCACTACAAAAATTTCAGCCATAGTAGTGTTGTAGCTATCAACTGATAATGACTTTCCAATTTTTAAAAATCTGGGGCTATCATGATTTGATCAGCTGTTAATGTATGTGTTGTAAACTGCAATTTCTGCACAATCTGGGCCTCTTGATGGGTGTGTATATATAGAGTTTATATATATATATATATATATATATGTAAAAAGATTACATTATCAAATTAACTAAAAGATAATTACAAATAATCGTTCATGAATAACGATATAGTTACCTGAAAAAAAGGATAAGTTATCTGTGACAACGAATAATATAAAAGTCTTTACAACATCAACATGCACAAGTTTTTTAGCCTGCGACAGAAATTATTTATATTCGATAGCCGAAAAGTGTATAAAATTTGTATAATTTTTATTGTATATAACATACATAATATATATACAAAAATATTTTTGACTATTATTTTAAGAGCGGCTATACAATGTCATTTTTCCACAGTTTTATTTTGTGTGTGTTATATATATCGAGTGTGTCTGTATTATTTGTCATTAAATGGTCTTTATAGCATTTGCTCTACTGTAGTTGTATGACACTCACGACTCATAGAACATATTTACAGTTGTCTATTGTACCATAGGATAACTCTTTAGTCCTCAAAATTAAATTACCCAACCAACAACTATTTCGATTTCAGCTATGCACTAATAGCGGTAGAGGTGTACAAAAGAAACCGATAAATCGCACAAACTCGATAATCCGAGTTAAACCGGAAAAAAAAACCCGACTATGGTTCGGTTTGATTTGGTTTAGTGTTGGAAAAAAATTAAAACCCGATCATAATTGGTTTGATTTAGTTTTAACTAAAGAAAGTCAAACCGAAACCAAACCAACCCGACAATACATATATAAAATTTTTAGATATATTTAATATATAAATATATTTATTGTGATGTAATTTATAAATATTTCTTAAACTTTTTCATAATTTTATCTTTTAAGGTATTATTTCAAGGTTGGACTTAGAACTTTTGAATGTTCCAATAAGTTTTATAGCCATTAATATTAGTAACTCAAATAATGCTAACAAAAGCCTAAACCAAAATCAAATCAATACCAATGCTAATAAAACACATTCAATTTAATACTGGCAATGACAATGTATTGAATATCTATTTTTTATTTTGCAATGATATAGATAAAAATGCATAACCTATTTTTATTTTTCTTTAGCGTTTAGTCATGTAATTTATACTCCCTTATTAGTTTACTTATTTTAGCATAACTTAGTACTTTTAGATTATGTTTATTTTTATTATGGTTTTTTAATTAGCAATATTTATATTACGTGATTTTATTGTCTTTATTGTTGAATATTTTAGGATATTGCCATGACACATCTCATATTTTGTACTATTTTCTTGAAAAATACCTTATATAGTTGTATCTTACTAGGATTAAAGAAATATTTGGAGCACAAATTATATGTTTTGTGCTACGAAGATTTTACCGGAGAAAAAACTGGAAAAAACCCGAATAACCCGAAAATCCAAGAAAAATCGAGATTGAAAAACCCGAGTTTATTGGTTTGGTTTGGTCTTTAGTTTTAATAACCCGACACAATTGGTTTGGTTTGGTAATTGTAAAATCCGAACCAACCCGACCTATGTACACCCCTAAATAGCAGGATGTCGTAGCAGCGATCTCCATTTATTACTGTGCAAATTTACTTACTTCCACGTCCCACAAATGAAGATTAATTTATTACTCACTATAAATTTATAATTTGAAAACAATGTCGCATTCAGAATTTTTGTAACTAAGGAAAAGTGAGACGTTCCATATTTTGGGTTTCTGGTACAATATTTCCCAGTAACATTTGTTGCTTATAAGAGTAGATAAAACTTTGTTTATTTGAATCCTCAACTTCATATAATAAATCAAATAAAGTGGGACAAAAGACTGATGCAACCGTATGTGATATCAATGTGTTATAGTAAAAAAGTTCCAAGGTGATATGAATATGACGAAATTTAATGCACTCGCTAACTAGAAATAACAAATGCACTATTACTCAAAAGAGAAAAAGAAAAACAGAGTCAACAATAACTTTATAGAAGTTAAAAAGAACTACTCCACTAGTATACATATATTTCCAAATTTTGTTTCCTCTCTCACTTTCATTGTTCCAATCAAATATGAGAGGATGAAGCAGTGGTATCAACATTTTGCTGAATAATCTCAGCTTCTTCTAATAACAAGGACAAACAAGCACTAGTACTAGTAGTAGATGAAGTAGAAGAACAAAATGACAAGGGAGATGTGAAAGAATGGCTAGTAATTGTTGAAGATAAACAGTGTTCCTCAACAACAGTGGCCATTATTGCACAAGAAGAAGAAGAAGAAGCATTATTAACCAATAAGTCAACAAAAGCACCAACAATATAACCATGGTTAGTTTTGCAATTAAGCTTCAAGTAACAAGTCAAAAGCTGTTCAAGATTCTCCCAATCTTGAATCCCATGAGCTTCCACCATTTCTTCCATTGATTTTCTAAAATCCACAAAAGGGTCCTTTGAATCCAATGCCATTACTACACTCTCCTTGAAGTACAAATTACCTTCATCTTCATTAATATTCTTGTTGGCTTCTTCAAGAATAATGGAACTTGTCTTTTCTGGCTCAAAAAATAGTCTCTCTTTTTCTAATCTCAGCCCTCTAATAATTGTCTCTATGTAATCTTGATGACCAATAGAGAGGTCTGAAGCATCAATAGTAGTATTAGAAAAGCTTCTTTCAGATTCACTGAAGAACTCATGATCAACCTGATAAGTAGAGTTTAGGGTCTTGAAAATGTTTTCTTCTGCTTCTGCTTCTGCCTCTGCTCTAAAAGAGACGGTTTTAGGTTTCCCACAAGCTGGCAGTGGCCATGCCCAATATGGAGAATAAGATGAACTACTTTCTGTTGAGGTTTTGAAGAGAGAAGAGAGCTTCATTTTTTCTTTCTTTTCTTCTATGAGAGAGGAGAACTAACTCTTCAAATTTGAATACTTGGTTTTGATGGGTAAAAATTTATGACACCTTTTTCTTTTCCTTTTTTGTTTTTGGGTTTTGGTTTTTTCTTTTTCTATCTATGTTGGTTGTGAATCCGAATATGAAAGTGAGTTCTTTATTATGCGACGATATTTGATTGGATATAATTTTTAATAAATAGGATAAAAGTATTTCAATTTTAGGACATATAAGATAATTGTGTCATATAAATTTGGTAAAAAAATACTACTACTACTTTGTTATTGTGGAAGGCAATTAATGCTAGGCAGAGTTTGTTGTTCAAAACATATGATTCTAAAGTAGTGGTAATTAAAAGAAGTTGACTGGTGGGGTATCCTATATTTATATATTACATATACACGTTATATTTTATAAGTAACTGAATTAAATACACGTTCAGTAGGATCAGAAGGTCCCATCTTGTAACGTATTAAAAAAATTTAATATAGTGGTACTGCTATTAAATGGAGTATCAGATTCAGAGTTTTAATTGCAGTTTAAATAAAAGGAATTCAAATATGTTGGCTACCTGAGTATTTTATAAAAGTTTGCATTTTCTCGTGGGCCTTGCATATCTTTACATAAATAATTGGGCGGATTCATTGCCTAACTAATATACATATACTATATACTATTATATATGATTATATATATAAATTATATTTATATTATATATTTATCGATTATTTTTAATTTAAACCGTTGGACGGTTGATTATTTTCATTAATTATTTTTGTTTCGTTTTGTAGTTATTCTAACAGTCCGTCCAGATTTTAGTATATGCTTACAAACTCTATGCTGCTACACTTGACAGCTTATTCAGTTATTCTTACTTCAATTCATGAAATTCCAATCTTTTTCTTTCCTATTCTTTGTTTTCCCCCTTTCTCTGCGGCAATTATATAACTTTACAATAGTCAATGCTTAAAAGTCTTCAGAAAGGAGGTCTCAGATAGTCAAACTTTTCTAGTAAATTTGAGCGAAAGTGATATTATCCCAATAGTTCTCATTTTATGATAGCGTAAAACCATGCAAGGTTTCTGTTTGTATTTTACTCTGATATGATGTTTTATATCCAAACCAAATTATAGCTCTTCCCAAGATTATCCTTTTAACAGTTTCTTGAAAATAATAATAACCATATATGCGATTTAGGATTTTAACCTAAGTCAATTTGAAGTGTCATTATACTACATGCTAATTTATGGCAATGTTTGCGTGCTTAATTTAACATATATTTACTCTTTTTGAAAAAGTTCAACAATATATTTGAGTTTAAGTCAAGGGCAGTATGTGCACACGCTGTCAACATACTAAATTCGCCACTGCTAGGTTCATGACTTAACAAACAATTCTTAAATATACAGGGATGTGGTAGTGCGGATGCGCAGGGCGGAGCTAGAGTGCGTAGAGCGGATTCGATTGAACCTACTAGTTTTTGTTCGAACCTTGTATTTGTCTTAAAATTTTTAGTGAATATGTACAAATTATTAATTTAAAATCCAGTAATAACATCAAACGATTAAAACCCCGAACCCATAAACTTGAAATTCTGGCTCCGCCTCTACGAATGTGATTCCTTTTGAGAACGAAATATATTCCGGTTGAGAGCGCTTCCACCTTTCGGTGGACCCTACATCCGAGCTAATCAATTTAGTGGGTGCCGGATGCTGGGTTATACCCAAAAAAAAAAAACTTAAATGTTTCTTTTTTGAATTCTTTTATTGTGAGAGATTGATGGAGCTATTTTGAAATGATATTGTTTCTTTTACCTACTAAGATAAGAATGCACTCCATTGTTATCAACTAAAATTTTGTTTCTTTGATCCGATTTTTTCGTTTTTCTTAATTTATAACAACTAACAAATTCAAAAAATTCTATTTTCGAAAGCAAAGCTTTGAATAGTCTTCAATGGTGGATTTCTACTCTTCAATTTTCTTACATTGCAACCAGGTGACACAGGGTAAGAAGCAACAATGACGGACGGCCCCTTGAAGCATATGGAGAAGATGTGAGAAGAAGAAAGAGTAAAAATAATGGTTATGAGAACACATATTTAACTCTATAACTTTTAGAAGCAATGATTGTAAGAACAAAGTTTTGAATTTGTTAGTACTTTCAAAATATGTACAATAGGAATTAGGTTGGGTAAAACTTAAAAATATGAGCCATTTTTTTGTTATGGTGTGAGGTCATGTGTATTTTCTTGTAATTCTTTCCTTTATTAAACAGTGAGGTCTTTTTCCCCCTTATTNTATATATATATATATATATATATATATATATATATATATATATATATATATATATATAGTTTGAGAAGGAAGCGCAATAAAATGGAAGTTATGAGATGGAGACCGTTGAAGAGTCTCTAATTGATATGACATCAACTGATGGAGAGGCTTTAGGATTAATAAATGATGATATCTGATTTTTTGGGCTCGGAAAATATTTGTAAGTGACTCCATTTTATGTTGGAAAAGGGTCAAATATTGTCACGACTAGTCTCTAGAACTAGGTAAGTCCATCAATGCGGAATAACATAATAGAAATCATAACATAATAGAAATCTTAAATAAATAAAATTACAATTCAAATAATTTCAACTTCCAAAACCCAGTAGAAATAAGTCACAAGCTTCTAAGAATTTATTCTAAATGTTTCTATACATGAAGGTCTAAAGATAATAAGGAAAGCAACATAATAAGGATAGAAGGGGACTCCGATGTCTACGGACGCTGGTGGATGTACCTTGAAGTCTCCGCGTACGGCTAGTTCATTAATGCCTGGTCTGATAGGAAGTACTTGGATCTGTACAAAAGATGTGCAGAAGCGTAGTATGAGTACACCACAGCAGTACCCAGTAAGTGCCAAGCCTAACCTCGGTAGAGTAGTGACGAGGTCAGATCAGGCCCTACTGGAATAATAAAAGACAGGGTGAAAAGTTTAACGATATAATAATAATAAAATGACAATGGGAATGAATCAAGTAAGTAGTATGTCATAATTTAACTACACATAATAAGGGAAAATAATATCTCGCGGAAGGAAAACAAAAATTTACAACTTTAAAAAAAAATACAAAATAACCGAAGGCAAATGCAACCATAAAGAAATATCAACAAGGGCACTCCCGAGGTACTGTCTCGTAGTCCCAAATCATAAATAAATTCACAATATCTCATTTTCTTATATCACCGCGGGAGCCTTCTCATTTAATTTTAAAAAAAATATTTTTTCCGAAATAGCATCCCGCGTTTTAGCCACTCTTATCACACCGCATGACTTCTAGTAGTTTTCCTACTAGCCACGCGTATCAAGCCACTCTTATCTCACCGTATGCGTATAAATATCACAATATATCACAATTTGGACCTCAAGTGCCCAAATAATTCAACTTGCCAAAATAAATCAACAACAACATTATGTTTCCACAATAAGGAGCTCATGGCTCAATTACGATGAATACAAAATCTCACAAAATATTCGGGAGTAAATAACTCAACAAAAATAATATTTTACAATTTTAATACTTTGCCTCAATACCAAATTTTAAATGTCAAATACTTCATATTAATAATAATTCAAGTAAGAAATTCAACTTTCAAACAGTGAACACGGAATAAAGGAAACAAAGTTTCAACTAAACAGGTAAAGCAATTAGCAGGGAAAAAAATAAGGCAAATTTAAAATGTACAAATAGACCAATGATGATGAATATAACCAGATAAAATAATTTGATTAATATGTAACAGAGATCTACATAATTTAAAATCAGAGTTTTCCACATTTAGCCCGTGTACACACTCGTCACCTCGCGTACACGACTTTCAACACATCACAATTATCATATCAATACCAATCCTAAGGAGAATTTCCCCCACACAAGGTTAGACAAGTCACTTACCTCGAACCGAGTAATTATTTACTCCATTATGCCTCTGCCTCGCGAATTAGCCTCCGAAAGCCTCGTATCTAGTCACAATTAATTCGATTCAATCAATAAGAATTATTGAAATTTATTCCATATGAAAATACAAAGTTTCCAATAAAATCCGAAATTTAACGATATAGCATTAAGGAAACAAATATTTAGGGGATCGGGGTTAAAGTATTCGTAACGACCGGCCGGGTCATTACATTCTCCCCCTCTTAAACAATCGTTCGTCCTCGAACAGGTATAGGGACATACCTGAAGTGGTGAAAAGATGAGGATAACGGTTGCGCATATCATACTCGGTCTCCCAAGTCGCCTCCTCGACCGAATGACTCCTCCACTGTACTTTTACTGAAGCAATGCTCTTCGATCTCAACTTTCTAACCTTTTTGTCCAAAATGGCCACCGGTTCCTCAACATAAGATAGATCCTTGTCCAATTGGACTGAGCTGAAGTCTAACACATGAGATGGATCGCCGTGATACTTCCGGAGCATGGAAATATGGAACACTGGATGAACTGCAGTGAGACTAGGTGGTAGTGCAAGTCTGTAAGCCACATTTCCAACCCTCTCAAGAATATCAAAAGGCCCAATATACCTAGGGATCAACTTGCCCTTCTTCTCGAATCTCATAACGCCCTTCATGGGTGAAACCCTGAGCAAGACCCGCTCACCAACCATGAATGCAACATCACGAACCTTCCGATCCGCATAACTCTTCTGTCTAGATTGGATTGTATGAAGTCGATCCTGAATCAATTTAACCTTTTCCAAAGCGTCCTGAACCAGGTCTGTACCCAATAGCCTAGCCTCGCCCGGCTCGAACCAACCCACTGGAGACCGGTATCGTCTGCCATACAAAGCTTCATACGGTGTCATCTAAATGCTCGACTGATAACTGTTGTTGTAAGAAAACTCCACAAGTGGAAAGAACTGGTCCCAAGCACCCCTAAAATCCATCACGCACGCACAAAGCATATCCTCCAATATCTTAATAGTGCGC